CTGAAAGAAATGTGGACCCTATGGGCAAAAAAGTAAAAAATCCCATTTTTGGGATTTTTATTCCTATTTTTGGGAATTGCGGGATGCCCTTTGACCTTTTCAATTTTTTTTTTTGCATTTTCTTATTTGAAATAACAAATTTAACAAGCGTTGAAAATTTCATTGAGTTTTGTTCATTTTATTATTTGTTTAATTTCTAAAACTATGATTTATATCAAAATTTTAATAGGGTCGTAGATAGCTACAACAATTTAGTCCATATTTATCCCTTAATATCATTTTTTAGTTAGATATGGAAATTCTCGACCCTTTACAAAAAATTTCAAGCCAATATCTCAATTACATTCAAAAATATGTTCATTTAAACCTGTGTCCTTTAATTTCATCTTTTTCATATTTTAGTATTAAGTATGACAGAACATACATTTGGTGTTGAATAAAATATTTGGACAATTTTTAAAAATTATTTAGTTAATTATTTTATTAAAGACTATAACATTGTATATACAATAAAAAAATTATAATTTTATTATGAGCCACGCACAACAACACCTAAATCACCCCACACAAACCACAGAGTTTCATAACAAATCCATCTTTTTCGCATAGTTGAAAGAACAGGATCAGAAGATAGAAGTAAACTATTAAAAATATCTTCATTCTGTGATTGCCTGGAGCATTTTCTTGAGCTGAATAGTTGAACATGCTTAAAATCTCGATTCCTCGCTTCCTGGGCTTCTTCTGTTAACTCTCCAAGTGGAAGAATATTCGATTCAATTATTATTTGACCATGACACAATACTTTGTGTACTGTTGGTGTTAGTTCCCTCCATGGATACAGAGATACAAGTAATTTAGAAATTTCAGATGTATATTCCCCAAATCGATTTCCATTAATTTTATGTTTACTATTCAGTGCCATTAAAATAGTGTTAACTCTTCGAAGCAACTCCTTGTCGATTCCAGTTATTTTTGAAGTAATTTCAAAATCACGAAAAAACCTTCTAGCCGTACTACCGCAACTTGGAAGTGGTTTGTCGATGTTTAATCCCATCTGAACTTTAAATTCTTCTTGGATTCTGCTTTTTTCCGCAGCTCTCAGTTCTTGCAATTCTTCATTATTTTTTGTTGATTTAGTAAGATTCTCTGGCACACTTCTATATTTGAGGTCGTATGCTATGTGTAAAAAGTAATCCAAAAATCGTATTCTGGCATGAAGTGGTGAAATTCCGAAAGACAGGACTTCTTCATTAATACTTCTGCTTTTGTTTATATTTGAGAATTGCGACTTTTTCTCATTACATATTGAGCATCTCCAGAAGGAAGAAGTTTCTGTTATGGCATTGCTGACCTTTCCATCAATCATTGTTAAGCTTAGCTGATATGATACGTTAATAGAGAATTCCTTTATTTTTATGCAAATGGGCTCCAGTGCATTTATTTCATCTTTTAAATATTCCACTAAATCTTTTGTTGTTTTCTTTGACTCCTTTATATGTTCAAATCCAATGGGTCTACAAAAATTTTTTGAACCCGGAGTTGTATTGATATATATATATATCTTCAAATGAATTTCCGATGCTTGACGATGATGGATTAAGGGAATATGAACGAATTCGTAATGGCACTAATGATGACATAAATACACTTTTGTAGTCTGCTAATGTCCGACTTCCACAAGCTTGTTTGTATTCTGGAAGTGTTGATAAACCGTCACATCCCCACTTACATATTAAGACAACATCACAGTTATGAATTTTCCTTAGTTGGCCTTCTGAAAAGTCTGACACAATTCTTGATCCTGTGTTTTCGAGCAAAGATGATATATCAATACAAGCTTCCACATCATTAACAGCAATAGGTGATGGTAGGATAGTTTGTTTTTTTCCTAGATCGCCTTCTATGATGGTAATATATTGTGTCCTTTTTCATGCAGAGCTTTCCTTAATATTTGGTACTTATTTCGACTGAGACCCAGTTCCAACATAAGCGCTATTGCTTCCTCTTCAGTAAAATTTGATTGTGATGTTGGAGTTGGTATACTTTCCACAATTCGCTTAAGTCGTTTTGGTGATGCATTAGGAAGAATAATTGCAATATGTACGGCATCCATAGGTTGGTTTTCCTTTTTCAGCATTTCGTTAAATGTATCAGCAATTTCCTCATTTGAGATTGAAAAAAGTTTTTGTGTGACCCTCTTTTTTTTGACCTTGAACATAAGTCTTAGTATGACTTGCAAGGCGCTCCTGTTGATGTGTTGTAAGTTGAGATTTCCGTAGTAGTTTCCATCCAACTACAAAATTTTAATAGAAATTTCTTTTGATTTCCATCCACAGACTTACTTTTTACATCAAAAAGTTTTCAATTTTTGATATGCCTGTTTTGTCTACTTTTCTACTATATGTAGTTTTTATATAATTTGAAATGTCTTTAATTCTTTCTGGCCCTTTTGAAGATACACTCCATAAAACGGAACACAACTCTTCGTACTTTAATGTAATCTTCATTGTAGATTTATTAAATATGGTACTTAAAATCTAAGAAGTTTACTTATATACCAATTCTTGTCATTACCGATACAGGTATTCTAAAGTAAAAAATTACGAATTGTCTACCTATTAACATTTAGGACTATATTACTATAACCTGTAATTCAGTCATTGATATTTCTTATTAGTGAATGAATCGAAATTATCATTACCTGTATATTTTTACCTACATGATCATAAACGAAACAGAACGAAATGATCTGTCGAAAAAATTTAGGTAAAAAATAGTTATACATTTTTTAAAATTTAAGCATAATAGGACCTTTCAATTATAAGGATAAGCAAACAAATAGAAAATAGGTAAATATAATATTTAAATATGTTCTGTCATACTTAATACTAAAATATGTAAAAGATGAAATTAAAGGACACAGGTTCAAATGAACATATTTTTAAATGTAATTGAGATATTGGCTTGACATTTTTTGTAAAGGGTCGAGAATTTCCATATCTAACTAAAAATGATATTAAGTGATAATTATGGACTAAATTGTTGTAGCTATCTGCGACCCTATTAAAATTTTGATATAAATCATAGTTTTAGAAATTAAACAAATATGTAATATATGACAAAATCTTTATTTATGAACAAAACTCAATGAAATTTTCAACGCTTGTTAAATTTTTCATTTCAAATAAGAAAATTCAAAAAAAATTTAAAAGGTCAAAGGGCATCCCGCAATTCCCCATAGGGTCCACATTTCTTTCAGGGCTGGGAAAATACTTTTGGAGTAAATAGAAAACATATTGAGGTTTCCAAAACTGCTTTCAGTTTGCTGATCCCAGCTTTGGGATTTTAGAACATGTTGCCCAAAATTGAAGTTTTGATAAAAAATAGGTCATATTCGGAAGGACGCAGTGGCAACATTTAAAAAAAATAGGACAAGTTTTTACGTCAAAGCGTTCTGCGTAAAGATACCTTTTAGAAAACTATAAAATTGTTATATGTTCTTAAAGAAAATTTTATTTTATTAATAAAAGAGTTAAGACACGCCAAATTTTATCCCGATCGGATCAGCCGTTTAGAAATGCCAGATTTATTTCCAAAAAATTTCCTTTCTGCCCCACTGTGCGTTGTTGTTGTTCCTTTTGTTTTGCTGTTGCTAAAGTAATGATATAGTCGGAAAAATGAAATAAATTGAAATTTGTATACCTACCATCAAAAAAGATGGGGGTATATTGTTTTTGTCATTCCGTTTGTAACACATCGAAATATTCGTCTAAGACCCATTAAGTATATATAGCTGTGGTCAGCTAATTGGAAACACTCTCTTTAAATTACAGCTTGACGTGATTTGTATAATATTATGAAAATATTACGTTAGATTTTCAGTTCCAAACACGTGTATTTTATAAATTGATGTTGTTATAATAAAATGTAATGAATTTTGTTGTGGAACATTTCTTATTTCTTTTTCAATTTTGAATTTTGTGAAAATCACCCAAAGATAAATTGTTGTTGATCATTTCTTATTTCCTTTTCCATTTTGAATTTTGTGAAAATCGCCCAAAGATAAATCAAAGAAATTGCGACAACCAATTGGAATTTTAATTTAATTTAATATCGATGGATTACCCATACCAAAAAGTTCTAACAAACTAATTTTGCGTATTATTATTCAGCGTAGTACCCAAAGAAGATATTAGTTAGAGTTTATGAGGGATACACTAAGCCAAAATATGTTAATGAATACTTGTCACCATTAATCTTAGAAATTAAAAACTTAATTAGCAATGGACTAACATTTAATTTTCGCAATTATAATATAAATATAATATAATAAAGTGTACGCTGCTTCATAATGGACGCGCCAGCAAGATCATTTGTTCTAAGTTGTAAGGGGCACACGGGTTATTACTCTTGTATAAGATGTACGCAAAAGGGCGAATACTTTACATTCATTGATTTTGCTGTCATTTTTTTCCATCATCAGAAAATTTTCATATCGTGATTGAAATTAAAAAACATATGTATGTAATTAAAAAACGTAAGAAATTTATTTAAAAATATGGTTTTGAAAAATACTGTTTTTCTTAGAAACTAGGATTGTTGAAGAAATTTCAAGCCTGAAGGCTTATGTTGAAAGAGAATGGCATGTCAAAGGAATGCCATCGCCCGATTAATGGAGAAAGTTTTAACTATTAAAAATGAACTTAGAAGATTGAACAAGGTGCAAGCAAGGGATTTCTTCACACTTAAAAGTATTCCCGTTACACAATGTAGAACAAATATGTAAATAATTTTGAGGAACAAAACATACCGTCGCCCGATTAATGGAGGAAGTTTTAACTATTAAAAATGAACTTAGAAGATTGAACAAGGAGCGAGCAAGGGATTTCTTCACACTTTAAAGTATTCCCGTTACACAATGTAGAACAAATAAATAATTTTGAGGAACAAAACAGTTGTTAAAATATATAATCATAACAGAACCCTTTTGTAATTTACAGAAAACATTTCCAAAACGAATAGGCGGAGAGAATGTCGGATATTTTACCAGATACTCATTAAAACAAATTATAACAGACGAATGTGTTACATATTTTACGTGGTCTGGAAGTAAAGAGAAGACTGCAATTCAGAACTATACTTTTATACGCATAATTAAAGGTATGAGAAACTCCATAACTTAACTACAAAATATAGAAAAATACATTTAAAAATGTCTGAAAAAAATTGGATTTGATCTCAAGAAAATAGTCGTCTTTTTAGTCATAATTATATAGCATCTCTTTCTGTTCTTTTTTAGAAAAGATAAACTTTATATAATAAACAACATGGTCATTTTATGCCCAAATCGATAACATTCTAGGAAACTTTAAATTTCACAATGTAAAATCTTGAAGACATGTTATTTTTTAATTAATTTAAATATGTATTCCTGTTTTATTTGTATTCTATTTTTAGATACTGAATTAAACACGTATAGAAATTCTTAATGACGACCAGATACTTCACCAATGGGATCGTCTTCTTGTGCTTAATTTAATCCCCGTCAAAAAATCTAAAAAAGTAATTTTAAAAGTGAGCTTTTAAAAAAGATTTGACAAAATGGAAACAATAATTAAAGAACAGAACAAAGAACTAAAAGAAATGGATAACAAAATGTACGAATTGTAATTGAAAAAGTCGGAACTAATGAAACGATTTCTTAACTGCACAGAAGAGTGCAAAAGTTCTTAAAAAAAAGGTTTTTCTATAATTATTGTCAATACTGATAACTTATTTATATTAGTTTATCGTTAATAACTCCCTCAAATATATTGATATCAACACAAAATTTTGTTTATGCAAATATAATATGAACAGAAATCACCAACGTAGATCCCAGTCGGTCCATAATTAGTCATAGCTCCTATATAAGGTCCACTTCTAAAAATCATCTAAACGCAAATATTTCATTGATAAATAAAGCTATTCTAATAAAATTAGAGTTGACCTGTCCACTACTGTATTTCCACACTCAAAAAAAAAAAAAAAATAAGCTGTATTACCAACATATTACTGCTTTATCTCGTTGTTGTTGTTTTCCATGCTTTTATTTATAATTTGTTGAGAAAATATTCAGAGGTAGTCTCAGATTGTGCAAGTTACAAAAAAGACCTCGTCTTTTTTTGAGAAGGAATCAACATTTGTTAATATTATCGAAATTGTTATGTCACAACTCAAATTCAATTGATCTAGAAACGATATTAGCTAATACTTAAACACAGTAAAATGTTGATGGACCACTACAATACACATAACTTTTTTAAAGAACAACAACGAAATCAGTTAATAAATATATTGTTCATTTAGTTACTTATATCTTATATATCCCATGTCCTTATATGGGAGTTGTGACCAATTATAGACCGATCAGGAAAAAGTTTCGTATAATAATTTACATATGTGCCAAATAAAAAAATTCAAGCCGAACTTTATTCCAATAGATTTATAAATTAATGTAATATGTGCGTTTAAGTGATTTTTGGAAGTCTATGACCAATTACGGGTCTATCCGGAAAAATTTCGTAGAGTGATTCATATGTACACAAAACATATTTGTGTCGAATTTTATCAAGATAGCTTTATTTGATAATGAAATATTTGCGTTCAAGTGATTTTCAGAAGTAGACCTTATATGGGAGCTATGATCAATTACGGGCCTATACGGAAAAAATTTCGTAGAGTGATTCGAATTTTATCGAGATACATATCTTTACTTGACAATGAAATATGTGCGTTTAAGTGATTTTCGAAAGTGGGCCTCATATGGGAGCTATGACCAATAATGGACCGATCCAGGAAACAATTGGTAGAATGACTTATAAAGCAGTAATATGTTGGTAATACAGCTTATATTTTTTTGAGAGTGGAAATACAGTAGTGGACAGGTACAACAGTTAATACTTATTCCTTTCTGCTCTAATCCAGCTTACATTGGTTTGTGAGTTGTTATGTGTGACATCCCTGTAGGAAATAAAATAGTCGGTAATTTATAAATTAACTATTTCGCAAATGACTACAAATTGATTTAAATCTCATGCAGATATCTTAGATTGTTTAGAATCAAACGTAAGAAAGAAATAAAAGCAATAGAAGAACTTTTTTTAATATGAAAACAAAAGAAGCATGCCATGAAATCTAATGTCAATCAAAGCGAACAAAGTCTTTTAGGTGGTGCTCAGAGAACCTGACAATGGACCCAAAAAAGCAAGATTTTTGATAACTGGAATATCCTGATTTGTGTCACTAAATTTGTATTTTTAGCTACCAAAGTTTGACTAATGAAAGTGGACCAGGCAACGGGCGCAATATTCAACATTGTTGATATCTGAATTGGCCTGATTTGTGCCAACAAAGTTGTGCTGTGGCTACCAAAGTTTGGCTAACGACAACGGCCTTGGCAACGTTCGCAATACGGGGGATATTTGATATCTGAAATGACCTGATTTGTGTCATTTAAGTTCCGTTATAAACGGATAAAGTTTGGCTAAAGACAGCGAACCTAACAAAGGGCGCAATGCGGAAGATGGTTGAAATGTATTTTTTGTGCAAACAATATTATTTTCTTACAAACTGAACATTTTTAAATTTTTTATTATTCAAATTTTATTTTGGTACAATTATTTCAGATAAACAAAACAAATTTTGACAGAAAAAGTATATATATAAGGAAACAAAAAAATTATCACCTCGTTCGATACCATATACCTCTTTAGTGTACACTGGTGCTGGTCAATTGGAATATTTTGAAATATTCATGATTTGAGTTTTTTCCCAAAATATAATCGTTTAAAATTTTTCTGGGATTTTATTTACAAATTTGTAAACGTTAAAATTATAATTTTTTGATTTTATTTTAAAAGAAACCATAATTAGTTTTCGCTATCAACCTAAAATTAATGAAAAAAGCTTAGTCTGAGAAACATTTTGTTAAAAATTAGCTTATTGTTGGCTTAAAGAAGGGTCGATCCTACAATAAAATTATTCTATTTGTCAATGGTTTAAGGTGTTTTAAGCTATTTGACGTTTAGGAATACGATCTTCCTGAATTTTGCCTAAAATTGTTTAATAAATCTAAAATAAGTTTTTATAAATACAGTCGTAAGGCTGAACAAATACCGGCACCAGATCATGCGCGGATATACATGTATGCGTTAAATGTTTGCATATTTTTAGGCGTAACATAATATACTGTTATTTTAGCTGACAATATCCAAATATTTTAAACTTTATTATACAAGCCAGGGATGGCAAAATTGGTACGATCGTACTTTTTTTGATACTATTTGATGTTCAAAAATACCGTGATACTCCCGAGTCTTATTTGATACTCTCAAAGTATCTTTGAAACAATGTATCATATTTTTCAAATTTAAAATTACAAGAATGCTTTGGCACATATTTACATATAATTCTCAAAAATGCATCAACTAAAAGTTTTAGAAAAAACGGCTAATAAAATTATAGAGTAATGGAATTCTCTTCAATATTACCAGAATTTAAAAGATCTACTTTTAAAACGACTTTTTTAGAAGTATGTTTTGCAAATTATCAATGCAGCTCATTTCAAAATGGAATCGGAAATTGTATTTATTTTTATCTTGATTGACATTATATGAATATTAATCTAATTAAAATTCCGTTGTAAATATTATATGATAAAATTACCAGAAATTTAAATTTTGCAAAAATATTCCACTTTAAAACAAATGTTTTGAAATTAGGCATTTAACCAAAGATAATTAAGAAGTTTTTGGTCAAAAATATTTGAACTTTAAAGCAAATTATTGTTTCTTGTCATATTCAGAATCGGATGTAGGAGTAAATATCCTATATAAGGTCTCATGGTATGGAGCACAATGTATAGAATTTTATAGGACAATTGATTTTTTAACAAATGACACCTACGTCGGATTTTAATTTAATACATATTATGTACATATTAAAGCGATTTATTGACAATAAACAAACTTTTAATACATAATAATATTTGCAGCTCAATTATTAACGTTAAGTTGAATTTCTAAATTCATTCTCGTATAGGGCCTAGGGTCAAATGTGGCCTGAAATATTGAAATATAACAAATTGTATCATGACTGCTTTAAATTTAACATATTTACAAAGTACAATATCGGTGTAATATTTGTACTTATGGTACCTATAGGATATCATGTAACCATTTCCTTGGGCAAGAAATTATGTAGCAAATTTCATCAAATTATATCTAAAAGGTTAACATTGAGGGACGACAAAGATTCATCATATCAACACATAATGGCTTTTCTACTTCCGTATAAAAATTTCTAAATAAAAATGTACCTAAGGAATGACCAACATGATCCTCGAAGTGAAATGTTATCTTAATTGTTAGCCAAAAAATGATTTTAGTACTCTGAGGGCCAAAAAAGTACCCTCTGAAATATTTTTTGATACTGAAACAAAATCTCATTTTCCATCCCTGATACAAGCAATAATTTTTATTATACTTGAAATTCTTTATTAAAGACATTTTGTATGGAAAAAGTGAGTAATAAATAATTTATATGGCTCTGATAATTTTACAGACTTCTTAATTTAAGTGATTTCATACTATACTACTATCATATGCAACCATGTTATTATAACACACCACGTTTCTCATTTTTACTCGTTTTCCCCTCCCCATTTGTTCATTTGAATTTCACCATAGTCATACTTTTCCCCTTAATTCATATGTAAGTAGGTATGTTTGTATTTAATAAAGAGAACAATGGCTGCATTTAAGCAATTTTGAGCAAAAGAGACAACAACTACTAATGTAAAACAAACACACATGTTGTTGTATCTATTTCATTTCAACCCTTAGAATGTTGATACATTATTAATGTCTTTGGAAGACTAAATAAAAGGGCGTTTTTTACATTTACCTGTTGGCATTAAAAAAAAAATGGAGAATATTGTTTTAGCGACGGCATTTTAAATTTCCTTTTTCAAATGATTTCAAACAATATTTTGTTAAAATGGAAAATGGCGTTAAGCCTGTTAATCGTTTAGACTCAATTTTTTAGAAACTGAAATAGTAAAAAAAAACAAGTAAGTAAGAAAGTATAGTCTGGCCCGGCAGACCAGTTTTGTAGTATAACCTACAACATTTATGAATGTATTTAAATTATATACAGTGAATCAACTAAGTTTTTTGCCTACCTTTTTTTAAGAGAATTTTGTTTTTTGTTCATAAATAAAATCCAAAAAACAGGTAAAAAGTAAATTTATGTTTTCCAATTGAAAATAGAGATTGTGTAGAATGGGAAAACCAAGAAAAAAATATTAAAATAAAAATTTTTGTGCATTTGTTGTTGCATTTTATTATTTTTCATCAGAATTTGCACGTCAATAAAGTATTTTGCATATTGAAGTTTCCAGTTAATTTCGTTGGGTTTTTCAAATTATTTTTTAATTTATTTTTGGAATTTATTGTTTTATTGTTAAAAGGACACGTGTTAAGTATTTTTCAATTGTAATTTTCAAAAATCATATCGTTATTGTGTGAAACTGTGTAGTTATTTGCGTTAAAAATGTTTAAAGGGAAATAATGAGGCAATTCCAATATAAAAAATTAGTTTAGATTTTTAGAACAAGTATAAATCAATGAAATTCAATTATGAGATGTTTAATCAATCATTAAAAAATAAAAAATATAGTAATTGATGAAATAACACAAAGAATTATTAAAAAAACGCACTGAGTTGTCTTTAAAAATCTTTA